GAATACAGTTACTCATATTTTGTATTTTAAATACGTAACGGCGGTACATGTATTCTGTTACTCCCCAACACTGACTGTATGCAGATGTAAATAAAGTTGCGCTTTGCATTTAGCTACCACAACAGAAGAGGAGCAAATATAAATGCAAAGAGCAAAGTGGCATGTAATAATTTGAAACGAAACTTTTCAAACAGCTCAAAATATCATCAAACAAAGTGTTTGTGTACAGTTTGTTACACAGTGTATCTGTGAGCTAAATGTACAGTTGCTGTAGTTCCCACTAACTAAAAAAATGTTATTGTGTGACCCCCGACAGAAGGAGAAAGATATAGTACAGGACAGAAGAGGAAGAAGTGAGATCATTTTCAAAGGTAAGGACTGCTCAGCAAGAGGAATAAAATAATCTGTAAACATAAATCCTACTTATAACATTCTAAGTCATTTCAAACCTTTTAAACCAGATATTAGATCTATTCATGATGTATTGCCAAATTATGTTTTTGTGAAGGGTTTTGCGAAACAAACAGAAGTACACGGATGTCATGTTGTTCAAAGGTTGCATGAAAATGCTATACAAAGCAGTTTAGTACACTTCATTTTAGGTCAATGTTCATGGTCAGTGTTCAGTTACATTAAGGGTAGCAGACATTAATGTATCTTTAAAGTGATGATTTTGAATTTATTTACTCACAAAGGCACTTTTTCATACTAACTTTACAGTGTCCATGAGTTGGAAATCAGCTATGTAGCTTATGTAACATCTTATATGCTGATATGTTGAAGTTAGTTGGCTAAATACATAAAGAGCAGGAAACCTCAAAGCAGCAGCAGCACATGTCAGCTGATCAGAGCCAGGAAAAATCCTGCAGAACTCCCTCCTGCTTCATCTCCCACGTGCCAAATTACAATTTAAACCCTTAGTATACCCTTCTCCTCCTGACTAAGTCACGTGTTTGGCATATATTGGTGAAAAAAGGGCCACCTCCATGACACAGAAAACCCTCATTTTTTAGCTCAACAGCTAATTAACACCTATTAATCTCCCTGAGCAATAAAATGATCTTTGTGAAGAAGTATTGATTGAGGCTCTGCGTTGTTTTTATTTAAACCTGATATTTCTCTATCAGTACAAGTGAAACCTTGAAAGCCATAAAAGCAAATGGTTAAACCACAGAATGATGTTTGTATTTTTTACAAAAATGTTTAATCAGATTTTGTTTTACCCATGTTCTAAAGTGTCCTACCTTTCCATTTGTTTCCTCTTACTTCATCTTCCTGTTATCTGCGGGGATCCACTCATTTCACAGTTACTTCCTGTTGTTTTTGGATGTTAGTTATTTTCTTACTCTCACGAGTGCATTTTCCTTTCTCTATTATTTCTTGCCCTGGTGTGTATTTAGTCTGTGTCTGTTCCCTCATTGCCC